GATATATTCTATTGTATTCTGATAGTTGTTAAATATTATGACGTAGCATACCTTGACACATCCCTGATAAGTGCAAGGAAAACATCGATCTTCCGCCGCATTCGCCAGACTGCGATTAGTATAGTCGTGGGTTGCCAATGCTGCGGCAGCTGCTGATGAAATATTTTCTCTTACTTGATTGTTGTTGTAATCTTAAATCGATAGAAAAAGTTTATTATTATTATTATTATTATTATTATTATTATTATTTTAAATTGAAACAATTTCTTTATCGTTTTAAAGGATATTAAGAAGGTTATCAATTGTTTCGTCAATTCACATTCATACAGAAGACTTTAGAACAACTCAATCGATACGATTTCAATCTAAGCGCTCTCTGTAGCACGATAATCCTGGGAGATGCTTGAAACTTACCTATTCCGTTAGTTTCCAACGTATCATCGAGCGCTTTCAAATCGATCCCAAGCACCCATAATGGTTCCTCTGGTTGAAACGTTTGCTGTGGGCTAGGCAGAGGAAGATGTAGAAAACCCTCGCAGCCTGCTGTGCACAACGGTGTCCTCTCTGGCAGTCCCGAGTTCCAGCTTCTATCTAAACACCATTCCAACTCCGAATCTAACTCGCTCAGTTCGCTCAAACATCCTGTGCCTAGTAGAAATAGTGTTTTATCAATCGTTGATTAACTAAGAAGTGGGAATTGGCAGAGATTCCTTTTGAAAGTAAAGGTTCAATTGGCAATAATAATAAATACTTTATTATTACTTTAAGCTACAAGATTCAAACCATAATAATAAACCATCTGTTGCTGTTTGATATTTTCAAATACTTGCCTACTACTGATCATTCTTTATTCTATTCTATCAGTATCGAAGAGCATTCTCTTCCACCTACCTGATAATGGCATCGAATTATCAGACCACTCGTTCCAAGATGTTTTCGCCGGGCAAGTCAGATCTGTGTAACACTCGATCATATTCCCAATGTTATTCGATTGTGCGTCGATGGATTCCGAGTCGTCGCTGCGCGGCGTCGTTCTGCAAGAGGACGCTTCGTAGTCATAGGTAAAGGTCGTTGAGCTCGTGGAGAACAGTTGCCTCTCGACACCTGTGTCCATGGTCAAGCCCAACGCGGAAAACAACAACTCGTCTGTCATCTACGACAAGAATTAAAAAAAAAAAGAAAAAAAAAATGAAATAGAAATAAAATAAAATTCTTCTTATGGTGTATCGAAGGATCGTTGCAACGATGATGGCTAAGAGAAGAAAAAAAAAAAAAA